AATGGTTGCCGATTAGGACGAAGTGCTGCCTTATTATCTTCAATATAGTAAGAGCCTTTTTGACTTTGTGATATCCTGAATGTTCGCAAAATACTTCAAATCAAACGGGTGTATATAGTTGGGATGGAGTAGAATTTATAACCTGTCGAAGATTGTTAAATCGGCAGAAATTTCAAACGTTGGCGAATATATTCAGGTATAAGATATTTTGTGATGATAGCGAGAAGATCCTGAGATCAGAGTATCTATAGCAGTGGTCTGCATTTCATAGCACAATTGTGCAAGCTAACTTCACACGTACGCTTACACTCTATCGTTCAGTCATTGAAACAACAATGCATATGGCCATGCCGCTAAGGGAAATGTGCCCTGCACGAAATTGTTTGTCAATATGAATGCTTTATGATGTTATGAATTATATTTTGTGTTTTACATTATCTAAAGACAATAAAATGAAAGTTTTAGGGTCCAATATATTTATTTTAGTCGTACAATGTATAAAATTAATTTGGAAGCACGAATGTGAACAGAGTTCTCAGTGGGTGTCTTTCATTTCGTGCTCGCATACACAGTCGCAGTTCCTCTCATGCCGACCACTGCTCACGGCAGACATTGAGAGTGAGCTCCGAAGAGGTAGCGCTTGCTCAAAATTGCAAAAATTTGAGATAGTTTTTCCTCCGAACTTTGAACCATAGACAATACATATGTATGTATAGTATATGTTCCGCGCAATGCCATCTAATGTACAGTATTGTCTAAGCAGCGAATTTTACGAAGTCAAATATTGGACTGTCCGCGGCTGTTTTTACGATATTTACGGAAGTTCCTTGGTTGAAGCTCATTGGAATTACTTTGAAAATATTAAATGATTAAATGATATGCAAATATTATTTTGAGTTTTTGGGCAAAATCAAGGATACTTGGAAGCATAAAATCTGAGTTGCACGAGAAAAAATTTAATTTTCTTTCATCATAAACTCTGGATTCTTTCTATTTACCATCTTTCCAAGGCTTGAGGGTTCGAAAATAATCGGTATAAAAATTAGATAATGGACGTGGCACCGCCCACTTATAGCTAGAATCCCTTATCTCGGGAAATATTTGACCAATTTTCACTAAATTTGGTGCAAAACGTCATCCCGATATTCTTAAAATAAATTGAGAAAATCGAAATCGGTATACCCTTACACCTACTTCCCATGTATCACAATTTAAAATTGCATCTGATTCTTTCACTTTACGGTATTTAAATTGAGATGCCATCTCAAGTCTAAAAATTATCGAAATCGAACTATAACTTTTCAAGAGCCCAGTGAGATATAATATTGAAATTCGGAGTGAATCTTTTTCCAGTAATAATGTGAATTTGCATCAAAACTGGGTAAAATTTCATTTCTTGCCCCCATATAGATAGAGAGCTGAAAATGTGTGAAATCCCGTTTGCCTTAAGGATTTGCGTTATGTGGCCAGTGTGTCAGTTATCTTAATAAAATTGTGTGAGAATTTGTTCTCGAGGATACTTGAATAATGCCAAAAGTTAATGCAATCACCTTCCTCTATTACGATTTTTAGGTGATATTTTAACAAAATGAAGTGAACAAGTTTTCTTACAAATTATACAGTTTAGTTCTGAATATGAATGAAATTGTTCTAGAACTTAGTCGTAACTTCATATCCTTAATACAATAATTTGCGATCCTCTGGTTGACTTTTTTCTCACATACCCAATATTTAGCATTTTTTGTTGAGTTTATTTCACATAAACATACACATGTATAATAATGTATATCTTATTTGAGTTGTTTTGTTCGAAACTTAGTGAGCTTATGACCTAAGCTAATACGATACCCAATATGATTGTTATCCGTTTACGGTTTCGCAGAATAATAAATATTGAATTTTTACAAAACATATCTTAATATAAATGTTTGCCAACACCTGATAATATGCTCACGGCTTTGACCTTTGAAAATAGCGAGAGTAAAAAATGTTGGTTAACGCCAAACTTAGCCCTACGGTACTTTTTTAAATTGTCGTTGACAGTTAAAGCAGTCTTGTATCATTTGATTAGATATTCCTTATACTGCTGGTCAACACATGGGACCTCAGTGCACATTGGTGTAAAGAGATATCTATATAGTCGTGAGTATACGTGCAAGAAGTTTATTGTGAAATCTCACTCAGGAAATAGGTATTTCCTGGAAGAGTACAAGTAAATCGTATAATTCAAGGCATTCACTGTCTATCTATTTAATCACGAACCATTAAGGTGAGTTGCAATAGCTTGCGTTGACAGTTGAGATTCGCTTAAAAGCAACTGAAGTTTTTCGCACTCACACACTTACATACATACTTGTACAAACATATATGTTGCTTCCACAACTTCCTTGGGATTAGTTTTACTTAAAGGGGAAAAAATATAACTTAAACTTTCCTTTTTCATCAGTCGAGTAGACTGACTTGCTTAACCGCCACCCACTTTGCTTTCTACTGTTGCGCCTCACGTCTTTTTTCGCTAGCTTCTATTCTATTTATGCGCTGAATATTTTTTGTTGTAAACTTACTTTTCTTTTCAATCGCTTGTTTGCCGCTGTTTGAACGCTTATCAGCTCAGCTAAGACTTTGTTGGATTTTCTTCTTTTCTACGTAATGAGTGGGAGTATGTGTGTGTTCTAGTAGTTACATAGCGGCTATTCCCACCACAATTATGGCATCATTATTATGGGCTGACAAAGAAAAAAGTGTGGAAATAGATGAAATGAAAAAAGGCATAGAAGTTTAACGCTATACTTTCAATTCTCTGGCGTTTTTTTCATTTTGTGCAAGTAAAATTAAATTTTTCCTACATCGTTACAAGGGAACCTTTGAACTGCGTTAACATAATTTCAATAAGACTTTTTTGTCGGAATTTTCATGCTTTATTTTCGCCATAGCATTTTCTGGGTCATCTTCTTTTGTGTTTATTTTTCGTTACTTTGTTAAATGTTTGCTTTGCAGAAATTTTGGGATAAAGCTCTTTTTCAGCGAAATACTTTTCATAAATTATTTATGAACACTGATAAGTTGCGCTGTGTAAAGAGGCTTATAACTACATATGTATAGTATACTGTAGGAAATATCCCTTTGTATATATATATGTATATACATATATGCATAGATTAATTTTCTAATATATGTTTTATTAAAATGTGTAATAATCTGTTAAGGGATAGTTTGAAAGTATTCCCGAAATAATATTAAATGGACTAATATTGGTTTTTATTCGAGAACCCAAACTGTATACTGAAATATCAATTTTAAATCTAATAATTATGCACTGAACGAAATTTGTAACAGCCAAAAGAAAACATCGAAGACCGTATAAAATATATATTTAAATAATTAGCATGACGAGCTTAGATGTCCGTCTCTTTGCATATACGCGAACTAGTCTCTCAGTTTTTGAGATATCGTTCTGAAATTTCGCTCACGTTCTTTTCTCCCCAGAAAGCTGCTCCTTTTCCGGAACCAGCGTTATCGGATTGCTATAGCAGTTAGCTGCCATACAAACTGAATGATCGGAATTAGGGGCTTGCACCGAGAACTTTCTCATTTCACGAGATATCTTCACGAAATTTGGCATGGATTATTGTCTAAGACAATGGTGCAATCTTCGATGAAAATGTTCAGATCGGATCGCTTTATTATATAGTTGCCATACAAACTGAACGATCGAAATCAAGTGTATGAAAAACCTTTTCATTATGGAGATATCTTTACGAAATTTGGCGCTCGTCGGACACACCGAGTTTACTTAGCTTACTCAAATAACATCTTCGACATGTTCTTTTGACTTTGTTATGGTTTTAGTTCCCACCAATTTTATTTTACGATGACTTAGAATAACTTTATGTTTTTTAACAACCTCTTTTGGATTTGACCAACATTTATAGTGTTAATATGGCGTGTGCAGAGATTAGGAAAGCACGTACGAATAAGTACTTTCCTCGGCGCCGTACTCGGACAACGATGACTAGTATACTTTTACTGAGAGGCTCTGTTATACTTTTTCATCTCTTCAAAATACTTAATGCGACTAATTCCTTCTTCTTTGGATTTTTCAAATATAGCGCAGTTATGGGTGGAAACAGGATTTCGTAAAGGTGGAGCGGGCCTGACATATTGATGAAAATACGGACTAATACTATACTGTTTCTGACATATAGGAACATTTGCTTCTCTCGGGATGAATAATAGGGGAAACTATTTCGAATAAAGTAAATGAAAGAGATTTTACGTGCACGACACAGAAAATATCTTTATTGCGTGCTCTTTTATTGGTTCAATTATTGGCGCTGGGGAGAACTTTCACGCGGAGTACGTTTCAGTTGATATTGCATGTTCTAACGCTATTTAAACACAGAATAAGAAACATTTAAGCGTAATTGCAGAGAGCGTGGAATTTAAATAAGGTACATGTTGTGCTGATTGTCATATTTCACTTTTCGCAGAGATACGCTTAAAGATAAGCGTTTTGAGGACAACTATTTTATTGAACTGATTCTATTGTACGTATTTTACCTTGACGATATGAAAGGTTATCTAGAAATAAATGAAAATAAATGTCGAATTTTGCTTTTCCCGGCCCCCGAAGGGCGTCCAACCCCGAAAACCCGCCTGTATACGCTACAGATTGAAGTCACACCACTTCTGCTACAACCATTTCATATCGCATCGAAAATCTTGAAGTCTGTGCCGCTTGGATTCATTCAGAAATACGTTGTTAGTATATGACGCATTATTCCATACCTCCATTATCATTAAAAAAAATTTTCGTAAATCACCTTTCACACATTCTTTTCTCATATGAATATATTCTGTCGGCAAAGGCTTTATCGTTTAATTGAGAGGAAGTCTATATAATTACTTTACTGGCAACTAAAAATACTTTGCATTATATTTATATCTAAAATTAATTCAACTAAACGAACAAACTTTCGTTGTTTTTTCTTTTTTTACAGAGCTTAGGTACCAGCTTTGATCGTGGAAATAACAAAGAAATTCAAAAGATTTGCAACAAAACTACTAAATGCCATAAGAAATAATTATCGTGAAGAGTGAAAACAAAACTACCCTTACGTCTCGATAAAGTTGAGTAAGTCTACGCTAGCTCGTGGTGACTGCTACGCGCTTTATCGCACTTTTTGTCACTCCATCCGAGAGACTATTGGTCTTGAGCTCATCGAGTCTGCTGTGTTGTGGCTGGATTCATTACTGTGGCCAGTGGAAAAAACTGTCATCAAAGTGTAATGATAATGTTAACAATGTGGAAAATTTTTATTGCGTTCACATTGGTGACGTTGCGCGCGACATTTGTGGCAGCACGCTTGCATTCGTCCAACAGTTTGATGTTGCATGCAGCCGGAGGTGGCGGTGGTAGCGGTGGCATTGGCGGCCTGACTGGCGGCTCGTTAACCAACAAAGATGCGCATGGTAAGTTTAAAACAATTTTCTGATTCAATTTAATGTTTTTTGCCATTCGAGAAAATGTATTGGTATTTACAGTTATATACATACATAGATATACCAGTAAGTTCACGCATATTTGAGCGCACTATTAAAAATAGCGTTTACTCCTTTCATTTCTTTTATGGCGCTCGTCATTTTTTATATTGTAAGTATTTTGTAAAGTTTTTTAGTCGTTTTTTGTTCGGCGAAAAGTTTGCCCAACGCCAGTGTGCTCAACATCCATTAGCATTAGTTAGTCGATGGCGCGTGATGCGTTGCGTTGTCAGGTGGCAAGCCGGTTACACGGTGCTACTGTAGGTCTGAATGGCCATTAATGGCTAACCGTGTACCGGCTGGTCTCCACAACCTGGTAACTGTGTGCGCACGTAAATGCGCAGGATTAAGGGAAATGGCAGATTGCGTGTGGCATTGCTGCGCACTATCATGACCGGCCAAGGTGTCATAGCGACGATAAGTACACAAATTCGTGCTGATATTAAATTTAAGTATTGCTTTGGCGGCGATTTCCACGCAAAGTGTGCGATTGAATGGGCGAAGTTGCGTGGAATATTTAATTTAAAATGAACGCAGCCGGTTCGAATTGCAACTTAACAACGTCGAAGTTTCACTTGAAGAACTTCATATAATTAGCGTATAATTTACTCGACTAATTGTTACAAATGTTCGCTTATCTTTGTGGCAAGAAATATTCGAAAATTTGGTAATATACATTATAAGTAGTTGTACTAGAAGGTATTGAAGAGGAAACTATACGACCGTTGGAACAAGCTTGAGACAAAAATATTACACAGATGGATCATATCCAATTTTTTAATTTTTTAAGACTTTCATACTATAATTAAAAGTTTTTCAATAATAGACCAGGGTATTTAATTTTTGAAAGCAAAAAAAGCATCATACGATGATACCGATTTAAAAAGAAATGAAAACATAACAAAAATGAAAGGAAAAATATTTAACGGGTGATTTGCGGTCGGGAAAAGGAAGGGGAAGGGTGTGGTTAAATTTTTAAGGGTTAAAAAACGGTTTATCTCGATTTACGGCAAAATCACGGGTTCTATAGGAAAATTTTTTTGCCAATGTTGTAAGTAATGTAAAGATCTATAGCTTTTGTATTTACACCTTCTTCACATAACCTCAAAATTAATGAGAAAAATTCAAATAACCAAGTTTTACAACATGTTCCTACAGATTATATTAGTTCTTTTAACGGTTGTTTGTAACACTTAAAAATAATCGCGTTAGATATACGTTTATATATAATATATATAAATGATCAGTTTGATGATACGAGTTGAAATCCGAGTGACTGTTTGCCTGTCCGTCCGTTCGTTCGTCTGTGCAAGTGATAACTTGAGTAAAAATTAAGATAAATAAATGAAACTTAATACACGTGTTCCTTGGCAAAAAAATGAGAACGAGTTCGTAGATGGGCGGACTACTGCCATGCCCACAAAACGCCATCAATCGAAAACCTATAAATTGCCATAACTAGGTCGCAAATAAGACACAAAACTGTAATTTGGTACAACGAATTGCAGTAATATGTTTAATGTATATATCTCAAATTCCATTGAAGCTATTTCACCCAAATTTGTGGAGCACAAATTATTTTAACACCTCTTACGACAGCTTAATAGAGAAAAGGTGAGATCGGATGTCAACTACCACCTATATTAAGATTTTGTTAAAAACTACTAAAACTGCGGGACATCAATAATTTCCATTTAACTCAACTTTAAATTCCATCTGATTTTTGCACTTTCCAGTATACAAATCAATCACGAATATTTTCTTCAAGGTTCACGTCAGAAAAAGTTGTTTCGAGAAAATTGCATTTAAAGTATTAAGTTAAGTTTTAGGTACTGCTACGATACTAAAGTGGCTATGACTTATGTTGCGTCTTTTTCGTTAGTGATTTAAAAACAACAACAAAAAAAAATACGTTAACTTGAATTGCATCGAAGCTATAATATCCTGCATAGGTGCATTCCTTACCGCAACTATATGTATACCTAAGTCTGAAAGCGTAACCGGCCAGCGGTCTAAATTAGTTTTACAACTATATTTTAGTTTCCGTCAGAGAAGATTATATCAAAGTCATCCTCAAATAAAGCATATCTGACATAACCGCAATAGAAGAGACAAAATTTAATATATTAGGTGATGTTCTAAACGTCAATAAGAGTATTGGAATCCATTATATTAGGGACATGAGGTTTGGGTCGAGGTCTAAACCAATTCCATTCATATTCAGCGCATAACTACATCATTTTTATAGAAGCTTGTCGACTGAACTTTACGCAAATATCAGATATTTAGACCAACCTAACCGGTTTAAAGACAGGTGGGAAGTCGGAAATCACTATATTGGCTATACTGGGGGCAGAAAAGGTCTGTACTGATAGCACAAACTTTTGACATTACTAATATGTAACTTATACACTGACTGCCATATTCGGCATAAGGTTTGTTAGAATAACAAAAATCATTATATGTAGTATACATATTGCAGTTTGGGTAATTCGTGGTCTAATTTCACATTTTTTCCCTTAAACTATAGTATATCCAATATTATATGTTCAGTTCATTTTGCTAAGTTGTCCTACATATTGATCAATATATATGACAAATAAGCAGCTACTTAGTGATAAAAGGACAGGTGCAAAATTTCAGATCGATAGGTTAAAAACTGAGGGACTAGTTTGTATATATGCAAACAGACGAGCATACAGACGGAGATGGCTAATTCAACCCAGCTGATCATTTATATATATTTTATAGTTCCTCCGACATTTCGTTCTGGGTATTACAAACTTAATATCCCCTGTTCAGGGTATAAAAACATATATAGGAAAACAAATGAAATTGTTCTAATTGCCACGACATATTCAAAATAAATTGAATATTTGGTTAATGTCTTTCCTTTAAATTTATTTAAGTTGGAGGCGTAACAAAGCGCGCAGGGTAAAGTTATTAGTTCTATAAACTTTGAGTGTTCGGGTATCTGTAAATATCTCTAATGTGTAGAGATGCCGCAAAAGTGGTCTACAGTTTCGCAAAGTTTTTAATTTCACTAGATGTATATTTCTTTGGACTTTATAAGGACGCTTAACCAAAAGATATTTAATAATAAATTTAATTCATTTCTTAAGTTTTTTCTAATTATAAATGAAAATAATACAATACAATTACAAATTATATACAATTTCTATACATGAAATTCAAAGATCAATAAACTTGTATAATTTCTTACAAAATGTATTTATGTACATTTGAAATTTAAGCCAACGTGAGGTCAATGAATGTTCAGTATTTATCTCTTCATTTAAGCAGTAATACAATTTTAAATGAAAATTTCTCTTAGAAATTATCTAAAATAATTTTTTTATGCAACAAAAACCAATGTATGTGTGTATAATATAATCTATTTTCCAAATGCAATCAAAACAAATGAATAAGTCGCTCCCTCTTATTTTGAGGATTATCCAACTTACTGTATATACAGTTATAACTATATACATGTACGCTTAAGTATCATACGAAGTAGGTAAATGTGTGCATATATATAAACATACACAAGTAGAAACGCAGGTATAAGTTCATGCATACTTACATATTTACATAACTAAGTGAAAATGTCAAGAATGAGCTTTTGTTAAGCGCCAGACAGCCTAAAGGCACACACTCACACATGCATAGACACAGTATATATTATACTCAGTAAATACATATACGTAGATATGTGTGTGGCATGTCACATACAAATATACACTTATGTAGATACTTCTGGTTGAGAGTTGAGCGCATAGCTTTGTGGGCACTCGAGTGGCGCATTGGATTTCCGTGTTTCCTGCCTCAATGCGCTGTGCATATTTATATGTGATAAATCTTTAAAAATATAATATATATGACTGTGTGAGCACACACACATATATGTATACTTGAGTTTGTATATATGTATGCACATAACTAAAACATAGCATAAATGCATTTAGCTATGCGCACGTTTACTTCTATGTTCTTGTTTTTCGTTTAAAGATTTTAAAGCGCTTTTGAGCGCCAGCATCCATAAAAACTTTATGCCGAAAGACATATGCCAGTGAGCGCACCTGCACGAACATAAATATATATATGATATATTTATATATGTATGTATTATATATCAACATAAATGTTTGCGCTTATAAGTAATGAATATTTCAACACTTGAAAAATACCAGAATTATCACACTACATGGCAGTGAACATGACTACTGCGCGCTTGTGACAGCACAGACATACTCGTATCTTGCCCTCAAACGCAACATTGCCGCCGCACGCTACGCAAGCAAATGGCAGAGGAGCTTGCAGCAATGGCTAGCGCGCGCATTTGCTTTGATTAATGCGGACAATTCCATGAGTATGTGCTCATACTTATGTGCTCGTACAAGCTCGTATGAGTGAATACGACAGCACTAAATGACACATCCGAACGTCGTGACTTGTGAGTTGCATATAAATTCAGACAAGATATTTACGGTCACATAAAAATCAGGCAGTAATGTGAGGGTGGCGGCAGACGGCGAAAAAGCTAGAAGAGAAAAAGCGGTTAAAAAAGCAGTTAAGCTGCTGCAAGAATGGCTATAAACAGCAGTTAGTCTTCACTAAAATGGCTGGAATTTGAGATTCGAAGTTCTGACGGCAATTTTGGCCTCAATATGATGCGCAGTGCGGAAGGAAAGGAGGTGTGGCAGATATTAAAATTGATTTCTGAAAGATTTATTTGCCAAAGTTTAATTTTCTTATCGCATACCAACGGTTATGGTGAATTGAGTTCTTAAATGTTCATAGAACGCAATTGTTAATATAAACTGAAGTCATATTTCTTAAATTTAGTGTATCGATTCATTTAAAAAATGGTATTTGGGTATATATTGGGCCATAGTTGTCCTGATATTTGTGTTGTGTAGCTGTTTGCGTGT